GGCATTCCCGCACAGGAGATCCAGGTGCAGATGCAGGTGGGCCAGCTCCTGGGACACAGGGAGACACCACACGTCACCCCACCGAGCCCCGGGGGTCCCCTGTGCGCTGTGACAGGGGATGGAGGGGAGCAGGAGGACCTGGCCGAGCCGGGAGGGCGTCCCACCAGTGCAGCCCCTGGGGGACCTCATTGCCTTTGCAGGGGGAGCGGGTGGGCCGATGGCACAGTGAGGAGGAGCTCACCTTCCTCAGGACATCCCGCACCGCCAGGTACCAGGCGGTCACCTTCTGTCCAGCGTGGACTTTCGCGAGCATCTTCTCCATGTTGTTATCCAGCTGGCGAATCCTCTGGGGCAGAGATGGGAGCAGGGGACATGGGGTGATCCAGCATGCTGAGCCCTGTGCCCACCCAGGGAATGTGGGGATGGTGGTTGGATTAAAGCCCCCCGTGGGTGCTGCCACCCCGGGAAGTGGTCCTGGGTACCTGCACCTGCTCCTGGTGCTGCTTGTCACCCATCTCGGCATCCTGCAGCTGCTGCAGTCGCCTCTGCAGCTCGTCCCGGACTCGGCTGTGCTGCCTGATCTGGTACAGCAGCATGTTGGACGTGTTCACCTGGTCAAAGATCTCGGCTCGGAGCTTCTCCTTGGCCACCTGGATGGGCACGTGAGTTTGCCAGGGTGGAGGCAGGGCTCGCTGGACCCCTATGGGAGAAGGGGGTCCTGCGTGGAAAACTCCCCCCAAAGCAGAGCCAGGAACGCCAAGACGTTGCTCCAGGACATCGTCCCTCCCTTGGCAGGGCAGGGTCTGGGAGAGCTTTGCTCTGGGGGACTGCTTGGGGTAAGGCAGAGGTGGGCATCAACGCCTGCTGACGGCAGTGGCAGGTCGGGCTTAGGGACTCTGTGTAACGCAGACCCGGGGCTGGGCATCGATAAAAATCGATCTGTGCCCCAGATGCAGATGCTGGCGGAGAGCGACGGCACCGCTCTGTCCCTGCAAGAGGCCCCGGGCAAAGGCAGCTCTGCTGGGCCAGCGCCTCATCTCCACGGGCTTGTAACCAGGTCGTAACCTTGGGACAGACAGTGAAGGGCAGAGACAGCATCTCTCTCCCAGGGATGCAGCTGGATCCCGCAGGAACCCGGGCAGACCCAGGGACATGGCAGGTGGGATGGCCAGGAGCTCTGCTGGGGCAAAGGATCTGCCCAGGGAGCTAAAGGAGGACCTGTGCGGATGGGTCTCACGGTGGAAAGGGACCCATGGGACCACCGGTGAACACCCCGTGTCTCGCCGCACCAGTCCTTGTGCCAGCACCAGGTCCCTCCGCTGCGCACCCTGTTCTTCTGAGCGTCCCCGGAGCCCCAGCCCCGTGCGAGCAGCCCATGCCCACCGCACCCTGCCGTTACCTCCACCGTGTTCCTGGCCAAACCGACGCCCAAGTGCTTCTGCACTCTGCAAGCCTCGGAGATGCTGAGCTTGTTGCACTGTGGGCAGGAGAGGGGCAGAGAGAACCTCACCGCCAGCCTGGGGACGGTCACAGCCATGACCGTCACAGCTCCTGGAGAGGATGGGCAGAGGGGCTGGCTCTGCAGGGCCAGCAGCAGGCAGGGGTGCAGCAGATGGGACCTGCTGGTACCTTCTGGACAATGCCCAGGGCACGGACGTCCTCCTGCACCGCCTCACGCAGGCGGGGGAGCAGCTGTCTGTTCTGACTGAGCTTTTCCTCACACGACTGCGCAAAAACCTTCCTCCCTTGCTCTGGAGGACATTAAGGCGCTGTTGGTACCACGCAGGACAACGCGGGGACGAAGAGCTCCCCTCCTACCCGGGCCGTCCCCACAAAGCCGAAGGGGCAGCACCTTGCAAGGCGATGATGTCGCGCAGCTCCTGGACGTGCTGGCTGAGGTTGGCCTTCCGGCCTCGCACGGCGTCGGCACTCCTGCCTCGGCCCTCCAGCTCCGCTGCGTGCGAGGCAGCCATCGCGGCTCCGCTGCGGAGCTGTCACCGGGCTGTCACCACGGATGGAGCTGAGGTGCCCAGGCCCGCGGAACCGTCACCATGGCACCTCCAACTGCTGCACACCTCGTGGCACCTCCAACTGCTGCAGGCCGCACACCTTGTGGGACCTCCCGCTCTGCCGTCGCCTCCCGCTTGGCTATCGCCACCCACAGCCCCTTCCTCTCCACTCCTGCAGGTAACAGACTGATTAAGAACCAAGTACCGAGCTCTCTGAGGCAGCCGAAGGCAGGGCGGGCAGAGGCCACCCTCCAACTGCTGCACACCTCGTGGCACCTCCAACTGCTGCAGGCCGCACACCTTGTGGGACCTCCCGCTCTGCCGTCGCCTCCCGCTTGGCTATCGCCACCCACAGCCCCTTCCTCTCCACTCCTGCAGGTAACAGACTGATTAAGAACCAAGTACCGAGCTCTCTGAGGCAGCCGAAGGCAGGGCGGGCAGAGGCCACCTCTGTTTCCCATCACCGTGGCTACGGCAGTAGCAACCAGCCCTGCCATGGGAGCCCGCCAAACCCCACCAGACATTTGGCATTCAGAAAGCAGGCATTCTTTATTGCAGCGCTGGCCACAGGGCAAGGACAATTTCAGGGAAAATATGCGTGTGCGTACACCCACACACTACCAGCGCTCTCCTGGAAGCTGCCAGCTTCTCTCCCGTGGCAAGAGGAGTCCATTCCTACCCAGAGATGTAACTTCGGAAACGTCAGTTCATTAGTCAGGTGTCACCACAAACCGGTCCAAAAAACTTTCTAGCGCCCATCTGGCACGCAGAAAGCAGGCATTCTTTATTGCAGCGCTGGATGCACGGGCGACATCTCCACCTAACGTGCATCCCCTCACACAAAACTACAGCACGTTATCAGGTTACACGATTAGTATAAACCCGCCTAAATTTACACTTATTGGTTAGTGACTAACATTGCATACGCTATTGGTTTACTGTATTTAAATTAGCCTCGCTTGCTATGTAAATTAGCACGCATGCTCCTTTCGGTCCCTTTTATCGGTCTGTTAGCTCTTCTTCCAGGCTAGAGCCGTTAGTTTTCCACAGCTCCTTACTTCTACAAACACTTCCGTACCTTTTAGCTCCCTCCCAAATTCCTTCCCCAAGGCACAAGCGGTTAGTAGTTTTGCTAATTGGAAAATTACCGTTTCTGCTCAGCTTTAGAAAGTATTTACAACAGCGTGTCGGTTGGTGTGGTACCTTCTGCGTACGCACACGCCACGCGTGCGCTCTGTGGGGGCGCACGCAGCGTCTGTGAGCCCTCTCCATCGATGTACGTGATACCCTAGCCAGGGTATCGCAGGAAACGGTTGTGCAGGGAGTTACGCTCCTGTTGACACGGGCAAGAACAAACCAGCTACCAATACTGATATTTATTTCAATGCTTACCGTACATTCTTGCTGAACTACAAATACGACAAGAAATGCAAGCATGTACATTTATTTGTTGATAAATAAAATCAAGCTCCCTCTACCAAAGAAAATCCTTAACGTTTAATTTGCAGAAAAAGATTTTATAACGAAATTGCCTTCCTATCACCAAGCTCGTAAATCAGCTTAGATTAGGTTTCTGTAACTCAAGATCTTTAACCTGCAGCCATCCTATTGTGCTCTAGGTGCTGAACACAGAAAACAAAAAGCGATAGGATTGTGAAATCGAGTATTACTGACACAATGTCATCTGAGGCTCTTACTCAGTGTCTCATTTGCAGATTTATGAATTGCATGTTAGTGCTAACTGCCAGCGACAAGCTAAATATCAACGTTATCATCTTCAGTGCTTCATAAAGTATGCATGAAGAGAAAGCCATTTGAAAAACAAGCAGTTTCGAGTTTGTAAACACAAGGAATCTTGCCATCTGTCCACGCATGTAGAGATCTCCACACTGAGGCTGTGCCCACATGGCAAATATAGTAATTATGCCACTGAACTTTTCTAGGCAGCATTAAAACGCCATGGAAGATTACCTTGGGGGCAAGAGAAAGCATTTTAAAATGGATAAAATGGTTCAACAATCTCCATTTCACTGGCCTTCAGCAAAACTCAGACTCTATAGTGGCAAGTCCTTCCAAAATATTACTAAAGAATTGAACCCAACCTTGCATACGCTCATGTCAACAGACCGCTGCAGAAGTCAGCCTCAGAGAGGAAGCCTTTGACCCAGGACCTCGTCCCACAGGCCCTCTGCACTTGACACGTCAAACCCCTCCTCCTCCAGTTCCCTTCAACTCTCCCCGCTTAAATTCTAGAAAATTCACACCGTGCTAACGGTACAAAGGAAAAGGTCGTGTCAGGGGTACAAACCGGAGCTCTGTTTAATTGTCACGTAAGAGGCAGAGCCACGCGCTCTAAAAGTAAACAGCAAACAATGAACACAAGACGTGCTTGTCTGGGAGAGCGAGCTAGTCGTCGGTGTGCCTGCAGCTCCCGACTTGCTGCGGACTATCAGCACGGGAGCAGGTACGTAACTAAAGGCTCCTTGAATT